AAAAAAAAAAAAAAAAAAAAAAAAAAAAAAAAAAAAAAAAAAAAAAAAAAAAAAAAAAAAAAAATGGAATTCTGTATGTATTCTGGATTCAAATCATTTGTTAGTCATGTGTTTCAAAATATTTCTCCCAGTCTGTCTTTTGCCTTTTTTTGAGGCTTTGTATTTTGATGGAGTCTAGTTTATAATGTTCTCCCTAAGAAATCTTTATGCACTCCAAGGTCATGGAGATTTTCCCAGTTTTATTGCTGAAGTTTATAGTAGCTAGCTAGGGTCTTATTGCATGGTTTTGATAGCTCATGGTATTTAATTCATGAGCAGTAAGTGCTCCCAAAACAGAAAACAGTGAGAAATTGGGTTTTGTTGTCATTTTTAGAGGAACCAGCAATTAAGCAAGTTCATAGTGTTTGTTTCTTTCGTTTTAGATCAACAGGGGGTCCTTCAGGTCGGAGTGGACATCGGATGGTGGCCTGGAAGAGACAGTTGATCCTTTTTGGTGGCTTCCATGAAAGTACACGGTTGGTACCAAGAATGGAAAAATCTTTCTTTCCTGAAGCATTAAGGGGTGGACTTTTTACGGGAAGAACATTCTGAATACACAAGAAAGATGTGCCCATTCTCCTACATCCAGCTTCACCAGACCTTGGTGTGGGTAGCCCCACAGGGCCTTGACTCTGAAGGGTCACACACCTGGTCTTGAACTGGCTTCATGCTGTGTTCGTATTGAAATTCTTAACCTTGTTGAACAGGGACCCTACATTTTAGTTTTACACCAGGCCCTGCAAATGATGTGGCTAGTTGTATCTAAAATGGGGTTTTGGCTAGGCACAGTGGCTCACACCTATAATCCCAGCACTTTGGGAAGGTGAGGCAGGTGAATCACTTGAGGTCAGGAGTTTAAAACCAGCCTGGCCAACGTAGTGAACCCTTTCTGTACTAAAAATAGAAAAATTAACTAGGCATGGTGGCAGGCGCCTGTAATCCAGCTATTCAGGAATCTGAGACAGGAGAATCGCTCAAACCCAGGAGCTAGAGGTTGCAGTGAGTTGAGATCCTGCCACTGCACTGCAGCCTGGGTGACAGAGTGAGACTTTGTTTGAATGAATGAATGAATGAATAAATGGGATTCTAAAACCTTACCTGAGTTCAGAATACTTTGGAGTACTGGTTAGAGTGCTGATTGCAGCTCTGACTCAGAGGGCTGGAGTGAGGCCCAAGAATCTGCATTTTAACAAGCTCCCAGGTGATGCTGATGTTGCTGGCTAGTGGACCTCACTTTGAGAGCCATTGGCCTGTAATAACTTAAAAACACTCCGGTCCGGGAAAGCAGCAATAGCATATCTTCCACAGTGATACCTTAAGAGGAAGCCAGTAGTTCTCTGTTGATGTCACGTGGATGTTTGTGCAGCCGGCATGGCTGCCCAGGGTGAGCCGCAGGCGCTCTGATTGTTGTAGGCCTGTCGTCTGCTCGTGTATGTTCTTGAGCTTCCTTAGTTCAGTCCAGAAAAGGACTGGGGGGGGAAAAAAAAAAAAAAAAGCTGGTGATCCCTGTTTGTGTCACAAGCGCAGTAGCATTCTGGGTAAGGTGAAGACCATCTTTTTTGAAGGACTTTATGCTGGCCTCCTGCGGTGTGAGAGACAATGGCTGTCTTTATCTCTGGGGCTTCATTAGAAGCTCTCTTTCTCTACTGGTCCCTTTGGAAATAGCATCTCGATGGATGTGATGGCGCCAATCACACCTTTGTCACATTGCAAGTCCAGTTGCACGTTCTGGTGATTCTCTGCTGATTCTTGGTGCATCATGATAAGTCTCTTCAGCCATGTGGGAAAGCCTGTGTTGGGTGGGTTAGGAGGGGCAGGTGATACAATTTTTCAACTTCCCCCCATCATGGGCTGAGACATTGTGGTATGGATTGGGCTCAGTTAAGGTTTCAGAATTTTTTTTTTTTTTTTTTTTTTTTTTTTTTTTTTTTTTTTTTTTTTTTTTTTTTTTTTTTTTTTTTTTTTTTTTNTTTTTTTTTGAGATGGAGTTTCGGTCTTGTTGCCCAGGCTGGAGTGCAGTGTGCAATCTTGGCTCACTGCAACCTCCACTTCCCAGGTTCAGGCGATTCTCCTGTCTCGGCCTCCTGTGTAGCTGGGATTACAGGTGCCTGCCACCATGCCCAGGTAATTTTTGTGTTTTTAGTAGAGACTGGGTTTTTCACCATGTTGGTAAGGCAGTTCTCAAATGACTGACCTTAAGTGATGTGCCTACCTCAGCCTCCCAAAGTGCTGGGATTACAGGCGTGAGCCACCACGCCTGGCCAGGTTTCAGATTTTCTTTACAAATATATTCTCATTAATGTTGTGAATTGGGGGGAAAGGGGATCCAAATGCTTAAATACTTTATAAGGGGGGAAATTTTAAGAATGTAATTTGGATTAAAAGGTGTTGAAGGCTGGGCACAGTGGCTCCCGCCTGTAATCCCAGCACTTTGGGAGACTGAGGTGTGTGGATCACTTGAAGCCAGAAGTTTGAGACCAGCCTGGTGAAAACCTGTCTCTACTAAAAATACAAAAAAAAATTAGTCAGGTATGGCGGTGCATACCTGAAATCCCAGGTACTCAGGGAGGCTGAGGCAAGAGAATTGCTTGAACCTGGGAGGCAGAGGTTGAGGTGAGCGGAGATTGTGCTATTGCACCCTAGCCTGGGTGACAGAATGAGACTCTGACTCAAAAAAAAGTATCTTAGTGTGTTTTATGTGGCTGTAACAGAATACCTGCGAACAGGTAATTTTTAAAAAGAGGTTTCGCTTTATGCCAGCACACACTTGGGAAGTAATCCCTTGCTGCAAGAACGAATCCAGTGTTGTTGCAGCAGCGGCAGCTCATGCTATCGGAGAACTGCACCCAGCCGCTCACGAGGGGTCCGCGCCTGACCCACACACCTCTCCCAGGCCTCTTTCCCAACACTGCACTCTGGGGATCAGAGCATGAATTTGGGGGGGGACAAACTCAAACCATAACAAGGCATGGTTTTGTGTCCTCAAAGGAGTTACCTGGATGGGACAGTGCTATAATTTTGAATGGTTTGCAAATGTTTTTACACTCATTCTCTTCAAGAACAAGCTGTCACTAGCAGGTCATCATCTCACATTAAAGATGAGGAAGCTGCTGGGCTTCGTGGCTCAGCACCTTGGCCTCCCAGAGTGCTAGGATTTCAGCACTTGGGAGGCCAAGGCTGGTGGATCACCTGAGGTAAGGAGTTAAGACCAGCCTGACCAACTTTGCAAACCCCATCTCTACTAAAAAATAAAAAATTAGCCAGGCATGGTGGGCACCTGTAATCCCAGCGACTTTGGAGACTGAGGCAGGAGAGTCGCTTGAACCCAGGAGGCGGAGGTTGCAGTGAGCCGAGATGGTCCACTGCACTCCAGCCTGGGCAACAGAGAGAGACTCATGGAAGGGGGAAAAAAAGAAAAAAGATAAGGAAGCCGAAGTAAGTCCTAAGTTACTCAGCTCACTGTAGCCTCCACCTTCCAGGTTCAAACTGTGTGCCTCAGCCTCCCGCATAGCTGGGATTATAGGTGCTTGCCCCCATGCCTGGCTAGTTTTTTATATTTTTAGTAAAGACATGAGGTTTCTCTATATTGGCCATGCTGGTTTTGAACTCGTGACCTCAAGTGATCCACCTGCCTCAGAATCCCAAAGTGCTGGGATTACAGGCATAAGTCCAGCGCGTCCAGTATGTTTATCTGAAAACCAGGTGTGCGACTGGTGCTGGGTAGACACCTGTGACTTTTCCTGCCTCACACAAAACAGAACAAGGAGGAGAAAACCAGGTACTTCAGACTTGGGCTAGAGCTGCTCGTTCTTCCATGTTTTCTTTCCTTAAATCAGTTTGGCGCTCCTTTTTGAGTAGCCGGAGAGCAGCGTCTTACACTTTTACAATTATTTTGTCAAAGTCCAGCGTTAGAACAGGACATTCTGGGTATGCCACAGTCTCCCCATGCTTCCAGCAAAGCTGCCCCTTCCCTACGCGGCCCGATCTGCGTGCTGGGTCCGGCAGGTAGTGAGCAAGGCAGGAAATGTTAAGGGCATATCTGTTAACATGCCTTGTTGCCTTGCTGTGTTCTCAGGTGCAGAGGATTGGCTTCTGCGGTCTGCAGTTTTCTGAGAGCGCCTAGCCCCCTCGTTCACCCTCCATTCCACACGGCGTCCTACTGCGCTTCCTGCCAGGCTGCGCATCCCTCCCTTCTGATCGTTCAGTTAAATGTGTCGTTCACTGCTGCCCTTCAAGTTGCACACCTAGTAACCAGGCTTGTGTTAACTGTGTAAGGAAATACAGTATGGCTTTCAGATTAAATTCCTATGCCTCGCTCTTCTTCTGGCCGGAACCATGGAGGGTGTAGAAGAGAAGGTTCCTGCTGTGCCAGAAAGCCTTGAGAAACAGCGAAGGAATTTCGCAGAGCTGAAGATGAAGCGCCTGAGAAAGAAGTTTGCCCAAAAGATGTTTCGAAAGCCAAGGAGGAAGCTTACCTATGAGAAATCGAAGCACTGTCACAGGAATATAGGTAGATGTACAGAACTGAAAATCGAATGTGAGGATGGCAAGGAAAGCTGGCAACTTCTGTATACCTGCAGAACCCACACGTGTTTGTCCTCAGGACCAGAGGGCTCAGCGGTGTGAGACCACAGGCTGGAAAGGTGTTGCAGCTGCTTCTCCTTCCTCACATTTTCAGTGGAACCTTTGTAAAGCTCAGCAAAGCTTCCGTTTACAGGTTGAGGATTAGAGCCATATATTGCATGTGGGAACCCAAATCTGAAGTCAGTAGATGACTAACATTCAAACGTGGTTATGGCAAAATCAGTAAGAAGTGAATTGCTTTGACAGATAATGCTTTGATTGCTTGATCTCTTGGAAAATGTGGCATCATCTGCATGGAAGATCTGATTCATCGGATCTATACTGTTGGAAAATGCGTCAAAGAATCCAGTAACTTCCTGTGGCCCTTCCAATCATCTTCTCCATGAGGCGGAATGAAGGAAAAAAACCACCAATTTTGTAGGAGGTGGAGATGCTGGCAACAAGGAGGACCAGATCAACAGGCTTATTAGAAGAATGAACTAAGGTGTCTACCATGATTATTTTTCTAAGCTGCTCAGTTAATAAACAGTACCTGCTCTCAAATTGGGAAAAAAAAAAGTTCCTATGGGTTTGTGGGCCAGCATTATTTCTGATTTTCAAATGTAAACTCATGTGCTTGTGGTCCTTTCATGTAAATTCACACTTGAATTAAACAGGTGACTTGGTAAAAGTGTTGGGCTGCCTCCGGGTAGTTTGCGTCAAGATTGAAGTCAAGGAGATATGGCAGGTGTCTGTGGCTTGTTGCAGGGAAAACGCCCACATTTCTCTGTTGATATGTTGGTGTGAGAGCAGAGGAGAAAAATGGTCTGGGGTTTTTCCAAACAGTAGGAAATTTACCTTTAATTTAAATCAGGTTCAGTTTTTAATGTCGGGGCTTTTTCCAGTATTGCTGATCCTGACGGTGTTGCCTTGTTTTAACCAGGGATTACATCTATTACAACGACGTGTATGCCTTTAATCTGGACACCTTCATGTGGAGCAAGCTGTCCCCGGCTGGGACAGGGCCCACACCCAGATCAGGCTGCCAGATGTCCGTCACTCCTCAAGGCGGCATCGTCCTCTACGGGGGCTACTCGAAACAGGTAGGTGTGGCGTGAGGACATGGGCACTGCTTTCTGTGGCCTCCAGTTTCATCAGCGTGGAAACTTTCAAATAGGATGACTCATTGGTTTCATATCAGCAGTTCTCTTTGTCGAATTAGAAATGGAGAATGGTGTTCCTCTGTGAACTTGGTGAGACTGTTAGGGCCATATGTTCTCATCCACACTCCTCTCAGCAGTGCAGTGTGAACGACTCCACATTCCGAAGGTCTCCTTCCTGCCTCAGACACTCACTACTGCATAGTAGTCCCTGTGGAATGAAATTCTCCTCGCTCCTGTTCGTGGGCTTTTCTCTTTGGTCAGCTGGGAACAGTGCCGGCAGGAATGTTCCTGCACCCACCTGCTGGTGGGGCACGTGCTCCGCATGCATGCTGATGTCTCCTGCT